CTAAGGCGCTGAAAGAGAAAACTGGCGGCTCTAGGGTCTCTAGTTGTTTCAGTTAGCTTGGACCCCAGCTCCTTCAAAAAACTGGCATCACTTTTACCCCAGGCACCAAGTGTCTCGGAGGCAATGGGGACAAAATTGTAATGGTGATTAAGGTCATATATAGGTCACATAAGGTCAGCGATATATGGCGTCCACTTCGAGACAGAGTAAGACAGTTGTCACCATGAAGCCGGGATGACGTTGATGTGACATCACCGCTCTGGGATGACGTTGATGGGACATCACAGCACCGGGATGACGTTGATGTGACATCACAGCTCTGGGATGATGTTGATGTGACATCACAGCTCTGGGATGACGTTGATGTGACATCACAGCTCTGGGATGACGTTGATGTGACATCACAGCACCGGGATGACGTTGATGTGACATCACAGCTCTGGGATGACGTTGATGGGACATCACCGCTCTGGGATGACGTTGATGTGACATCACAGCTCTGGGATGACGTTGATGTGACATCACAGCTCCGGGATGACGTTGATGTGACATCACCGCTCTGGGATGACGTTGATGTGACATCACAGCACCGGGATGACGTTGATGTGACATCACCGCTCTGGGATGACGTTGATGTGACATCACAGCACCGGGATGACGTTGATGTGACATCACAGCTCTGGGATGACGTTGATGTGATATCACAGCTCTGGGATGACGTTGATGGGACATCACCGCTCTGGGATGACGTTGATGTGACATCACAGCTCTGGGATGACGTTGATGTGACATCACAGCTCAGGGATGACGTTGATGTGACATCACCGCTCTGGGATGACGTTGATGTGACATCACAGCACCGGGATGACGTTGATGTGACATCACAGCACCGGGATGACGTTGATGGGACATCACAGCACCGGGATGACGTTGATGTGACATCACAGCACCGGGATGACGTTGATGTGACATCACAGCACCGGGATGACGTTGATGTGACATCACAGCACCGAGATGACCAGCAGTAACGTCACAGGAAACAGCAAATCACGTGACCTTGAGGCTAAGATACAAGCAATTGAGCGTTTACCGTCTTGTCCTTGTGGCTTGTCAGCCCTGAGATGCTGCACCAGCCACCAGGATGCTGCACCAGCCACCAGGATGCTGCACCAGCCACCAGGATGCTGCACCAGCCACCAAGATGCTGCACCAGCCACCGTCAAGACCAGATGCTGCACCAGCCACCGTCAAGACCAGATGCTGCACCAGCCACCGTCAAGACCAGATGCTGCACCAGCCACCGTCAAGACCAGATGCTGCACCAGCCACCGTCAAGACCAGATGCTGCACCAGCCACCGTCAAGACCAGATGCTGCACCAGCCACCGTCAAGACCAGATGCTGCACCAGCCACCGTCAAGACCAGATGCTGCACCAGCCACCGTCAAGACCAGATGCTGCACCAGCCACCGTCAAGACCAGATGCTGCACCAGCCACCGTCAAGACCAGATGCTGCACCAGCCACCGTCAAGACCAGATGCTGCACCAGCCACCGTCAAGACCAGATGCTGCACCAGCCACCGTCAAGACCAGATGCTGCACCAGCCACCGTCAAGGCGAGATGCTGCACCAGCCACCGTCAAGACCAGATGCTGCACCAGCCACCGTCAAGACCAGATGCTGCACCAGCCACCGTCAAGACCAGACGCTGCACCAGCCACCGTCAAGACCAGATGCTGCACCAGCCACCGTCAAGACCAGATGCTGCACCAGCCACCGTCAAGACCAGATGCTGCACCAGCCACCGTCAAGACCAGATGCTGCACCAGCCACCGTCAAGACCAGATGCTGCACCAGCCACCGTCAAGACCAGATGCTGCACCAGCCACCGTCAAGGCGAGATGCTGCACCAGCCACCGTCAAGACCAGATGCTGCACCAGCCACCGTCAAGACCAGATGCTGCACCAGCCACCGTCAAGGCGAGATGCTGCACCAGCCACCGTCAAGACCAGATGCTGCACCAGCCACCGTCAAGACCAGATGCTGCACCAGCCACCGTCAAGACCAGATGCTGCACCAGCCACCGTCAAGACCAGATGCTGCACCAGCCACCGTCAAGACCAGATGCTGCACCAGCCACCGTCAAGACCAGATGCTGCACCAGCCACCGTCAAGACCAGATGCTGCACCAGCCACCGTCAAGACCAGATGCTGCACCAGCCACCGTCAAGACCAGATGCTGCACCAGCCACCAGGATGCTGCACCAGCCACCAGGATGCTGCACCAGCCACCAGGATGCTGCACCAGCCACCAGGATGCTGCACCAGCCACCAGGATGCTGCACCAGCCACCAAGATGCTGTACCAGCCACCAAGATGCTGCACACGCAGGTCAAGGCAGGTGTTCCCGCCAGATCAGGCGACCCCATAACTCAAGCGATGACGATAACTACACGACACATTGCAAATCAGGCTTGCAAATGGGTGGCAGAAAGCTAGACTTCAGAGCCAGAAATGACATACTGGGCACTAAGTTTGACTCAACTATGACAATGAAAAATCATGTGCTCAGTGTAAAGTTGCAATTCAGCGGTGCATCTTGCAATTTTTTGACAGCAGCGGTTGCAAAACCTTATATATGTCGCATAAGTTTGCTCCCATCTTGAGTATGCACCCCTCTCCTGGATTGCTTGCCGACCCCCCCCCCCATCATTCATCAGAGCCGCGCAAGAAGGCTTCTCTCTAGTCTTCACCAAGTCTGGTGAGAATGTTGTGAACATCAAAGCTTCCAACACCGCCGTGATGTTGGTGGACTTAGTGTTATGTACAAGGCCAACATTCTCAAACTTCTGCACCTGGCCCAACTTCGTGGACAACTAGTAGTTGGCATCTGAAACACAATGCTTTTAGGTACCAACATTCTCATGCTGGAAATTCCCTTCTCAAGAACAACACTCCATCAAAGATCAATTATTCCTAGGATGACTGGCATCTGAAACTTGTTTTGCTCAACAGGTTGATAAACAGTAGATCAGGTAAGCCAATTACATGAAGGCTCTCTCACACAGCTACAGGCTCCTCCTATTCCTTATATAACTGTTACTTACATTTAAATCAAGATAATTCCCTTCCCCCTCCCCCACCCGAAAAAAATTAGGGGTGGGGGTAGGATAACAACTCTTGCTTGTAGCTTCACCAGCTTCCTTATATGATAGGTGCTAAGTCGGGAGCCACAGGCGTCCATTTTGGCGCCAATCCTTTTTGTCATATACGTCAATGACACAGATGAGAATATTACAAACCACATCATCAAATTTGCAGATGACACTAAGATTTATGGTAAAGTGGGAAGTGAAAGTGATATTGAGACCTTACAAAGAGATCTTCCTGAACTCCACAAATGGTCTGATGACTGACAAATGCTTTTTTAATGTCGATAAACGGAAGACCTTGCAATGTGGGGCATAACAATCCACGTCACAACTACCAAACTGACAACACTACCTTACAGCAGATTGATGACGTAAGGGACCTTAGAGTCAGAATCCATCATTCACTAAAAGTTACACAGCAAGTGGGAGCGGCAGTAAATAAAGTGAACCAAACCCGTGGGAATAATCAAGCGTACCTTCACCTTCAAGGAAAAGAAAGTAATGGTTCTATTGTATAAGTCTCTGGTGCGCCTCCGCCTGGATTATTGCATCGAAGCATGGAGATCTTATCTTCAGAAAGACACAGCTGCTCTGGAGAAGGTGCAACACCGGGCACCAAAAATCATACCAGAGCTAAGTCATCTCTCGTATCAGGAACAGTTGAGGACCACAGGGCTAACAACACTGCAAACCAGGGCAGGGCGGATCTCATCGAAAACTTTAATATACTGAACAGTTTGGAGGATGTTGATCTGGACAATTTCTTCTAAAGGTTAGATGTAACACAAACAAGGAGCAACGGGTTCAAGCCCAACAAGTCACAATGTTAAACAGAAAACAGATTTTTTTTCACCCATAAGGTTGTACACCTGTGGAACCGCCTACCCGCCAAAGCCGTAAACGCCTAATCTCTTCCGGGGTTTGAAATACAGCTTGAAAAGATCATCAGGGCAAATAGGTGGACTTTTGACAAGCCTCCGGCTTTCTGTCCTCGTCGAGGCCATGGCCCTCAGGTAAAATTCTGATAGTTCCCTATGTGATAGTTTCAAAGTACATTCTCATGAAATAAATGAGTTTCTAGGAGCAGGTTTCAAATGAGTTGAGGTAGGATAACAGCTCTTGCTTGCAGTTTCACTAGGTACGTCCTTTGACAGCCATTATGAACCCTAGTCAGTTTACACAAAAAAAAAGGAGAGCGACAGAGAGAGGAGAGAGGGGGGGGGGGGGGTTGATAGAGGTGAGAGTCACGGGTCGGGCAGGACTGAGTGAATGAGGAAGGGCGTAGCAAATATATGATATAAACTAAAATTTCACCAATACATATATGATAAATACACCTGTACAACGATCACAACAAAACACCTCATACGAATATCAGGCACTTATACAGACGCCGGTGTACTCTCCTAAGTACGAGCAACAGACCCAAGTGTCTGGCAATCGCAGGAGGTTGACCGTGCTAGTCGGAGTGTCAACAAACACACCATGAAACAAGGAGAAGCTGTAACATCACACTTTTGGTCACTAATGAAAGTAACTGAAATTGTCCAGCATGCCGTCTGGGACCAGTTGCCAGGTTATGTTTTTATCGGAATTATTATTTAGTTCGGTACGAGGTAAGTTGAGAATCACTGGACCCCCCCAATGTGGGTTATGCAAATACAGATAGTTCATGCAAGTGCTTGCATGGTAAGTTAAGTTAGTCTGTGTTTACATTGCATTAATATGAAGTCTTCTACACAACAGCAGGTAGGAACTCGTATGAACTCGTACGTCTATTTGAACCCGGTCGCCTCGCGCAGAAAACGGGAAGAGAAGCTGTACCGTGATTTATATCTGCAGGCAAAAACACTTAAGATGTGTAGATACTAATAATACAAGTTAAGTAAGGCCACAATTGTACTGTAACATGACTTTTAATCGGGAGAAATAATTATATACAAAGCAACTCCACGCAACGCCCCGCCCTCGGATATTCTGCACCAATCAGGAAGAGGCAGAGTGTCAAAGGGCGGAGCTTAACCCAAGAGGGCGGAGCTAGCCAGAAGGGGGGCGGAGCGTGGGCGGTGGTAGGAGGAGCCAGCCGCAGCACAAGCCGGGAGTCGCTGCCGGATAGCGAGGGGAGAGACACCGGCAGCGGCTACCTTCCCCGCTATCCTTACTCCCCTGCAATATCATTATTACCCGCTATCTCATGAATCGCAGAGTCGTGATTTAAACGAGGAAGGATGGTTATCCCGGTGCCGCAGGTTGTTGAGGATACGGGGGCAACCCGCAGGTTATATATACCCTGCCGCAGTCAGGAGAGGGGGGGGGGGGGGGGTGCAAGGGTAATGACTGGGGTGCGGCGCCGCAGGTCACCGCAGGCTCGCGTGCACGCTGGAACAGTAGCCTGACGGAGCGTGTCAAATCCGCCCCCCCCCTGGAGGTCGTGACTCCCTCCTGCCGCAGCCGGCGGGTTGGGAGGGGTGGGGGGGGGGGTTGTTGGTGGTGGTAGAGGACCAGGTGTGGTGACGGTGGTAGTGGACCAGGTGTAGTGGTAGTGGACCAGGTGTAGTGATGGTGGTAGTGGACCAGGTGTGGTGGTAGTGAACCAGGTGTAGTGATGGTGGTAGTGAACCAGGTGTAGTGATGGTGGTAGTGGACCAGGTGTGGTGATGGTGGTAGTGGACCAGGTGTGGTGGTAGTGAACCAGGTGTAGTGATGGTGGTAGTGGACCAGGTGTAGTGATGGTGGTAGTGGACCAGGTGTGGTGGTAGTGAACCAGGTGTAGTGATGGTGGTAGTGGACCAGGTGTAGTGATGGTGGTAGTGGACCAGGTGTAGTGGTAGTGGACCAGGTGTAGTGATGGTGGTAGTGGACCAGGTGTAGTGATGGTGGTAGTGGACCAGGTGTAGTGATGGTGGTAGTGGACCAGGTGTAGTGGTAGTGGACCAGGTGTAGTGATGGTGGTAGTGGACCAGGTGTAGTGATGGTGGTAGTGGACCAGGTGTAGTGATGGTGGTAGTGGACCAGGTGTAGTGATGGTGGTAGTGGACCAGGTGTAGTGATGGTGGTAGTGGACCAGGTGTAGTGATGGTGGTAGTGGACCAGGTGTGGTGGTAGTGGACCAGGTGTGGTGGTAGTGGACCAGGTGTAGTGATGGTGGTAGTGGACCAGGTGTAGTGGTAGTGGACCAGGTGTGGTGGTAGTGGACCAGGTGTAGTGATGGTGGTAGTGGACCAGGTGTAGTGGTAGTGGACCAGGTGTAGTGATGGTGGTAGTGGACCAGGTGTAGTGATGGTGGTAGTGGACCAGGTGAGGTGGTAGTGGACCAGGTGTAGTGATGGTGGTAGTGGACCAGGTGTGGTGGTAGTGGACCAGGTGTAGTGATGGTGGTAGTGGACCAGGTGTAGTGATGGTGGTAGTGGACCAGGTGTAGTGGTAGTGCACCAGGTGTAGTGATGGTGGTAGTGGACCAGGTGTGGTGGTAGTGGACCAGGTGTGGTGGTAGTGGACCAGGTGTAGTGATGGTGGTAGTGGACCAGGTGTGGTGTTGGTGGTAGTGGACCAGGTGTGGTGTTGGTGGACAAGGTGTGGTAGTGGACCAGGTGTGGTAGTGGACCAGGTGTAGTGTTGGTGGTAGTGGACCAGGTGTGGTGTTGGTGGACCAGGTGTGGTGGTAGTGGAACAGGTGTAGTGATGGTGGTAGTGGGCCAGGTGTGGTGGTAGTGGACCAGGTGTGGTGATGGTAGTAGTGGACCAGGTGTGGTGTTGGTGGACCAGGTGTGGTGGTAGTGGACCAGGTGTAGTGATGGTGGTAGTGGACCAGGTATAGTGACGGTGGTAGTGGACCAGGTGTGGTGGTAGTGGACCAGGTGTGGTGGTAGTGGACCAGGTGTGGTGGTAGTGGACAAGGTATGACGACGGTGGTCCAGAAGGCATCTAACCATGGACACTTCAAGAGAGAGGAGAAACACAATGGCTCCCAATAAGATACAGTAAACCACAGGTAACTGCAGAACTACCAAATCATTAATTAATCAAAACGCAGCTGTTAACATTCCCGGTATAAAAGAAGGGACACAAACAGGAGGCCCTGAACTACATGCAATTGCCCCTAACTATCATACCATGCAAAGTGATGGGAATGATTGTGAGAAAAAAATAATAGAACATCTGAGAGAATAGTAATCTTTGTAAAACATGACTATCAAGGGTTCAGGGACGGTAAAGCTTGCCTCACAGGCTTAATAGAATTGCAAAAAATAAACAAGGAAGAGAAGGGTGAGCAGACTGCATATTTTTTGGATTGTCAGAAAGTCCTTGACACAGTACCCCATATGAGTGCATAAGTTAGTGAAGCAG